CTCTACTTGCTCTCTGCTAATATAAGTTTCATCCAGTTATTAAAGAACTAAATATCAATATTGGAGCAAAATAGAATGAACAAATGTTGACAATAAAATACGTGGACAATATCACAGAATAAAAGCCAACAACAAGCTATTGTCAAAGAATAAAAAGGTAGGATTGAAAGAAAAGCAGTGGTATGAAGAATAGAGTGACAGAGTTGGATCGTTCTCGTGTTACACAAATTTATTTCATACATTACATACTGCATCCTATTTGTATATATTCAGTTGGGCCCTTTTATGTATATCACAATACTTTTGTTCAAAAACTTATGCTTATAAACCATGAAAGTTTATGATGCCTGAAACCTTCTGTTCACTTCCTCTCAATTAATTCTGATCTAACACTAACGTGTCACATTGTATCTACCTGTCTGCAATGCATAAAGGTACCACTAGTCTCCACTTCTACATATTTAAATTCAACCCCTTTCACCACAAAAGGATTTCAACAATTAAATATTCTTTTAAGTATAACTGTATTCAGATCACAACAAATGCAGACTAAGGATTACATCTCCAAGCCTGTACACAGAGCTATTTCTAGCTCATTATCAGACTTGGACAGAAATTCTGTTCCCTTCCCCCCACATTCACCCCTATGGTCATCATTTGTCATGCAGTGAAATAACCGGCATAAAACATAGCTAATTAAATCTTCTTTATCTTCTACTTCAGATCCAAGTATATGACATAAAAGCAAGTCAAATCTTCATTGCTCATGTTGTGTAGAATATTGTACAAATTGGGTGAGAAGCAGAAGGAAAAGACAGAGGTAAATTTTATTCTGTTGTGATATCATGTAAGTCATATATTTATATCAACTGCAAGCCTGAATATTTGAATTGGGGGAAAAAAATCTTTTAATTAGTTGAGTTCCATTAACCAGAGTTAATACAAATGAAATTATTTGCTCACTCATTGGGATGTTTTGTGGAACCTGTCAAGAATGTCTATTGTCTCCTTTTAGGTTTAATTTGACTTTGGAACTTCTGACCTGTTTGATTCAACAGTTGAAGGATATCTGGGGCATTAAGATGGGTGGTATTAAACATACATTGTTTTTTATATGCTGTTATATTTTATTTTATTGAAAATTATCAAAGTTTATCAAAAGTTATGGATATAGTACAATAGTTTGGTAAGCTATCGAGATATTCAATTAAGTGGAATAATTCTAATATACGTCCTATAGGATCTAAGGTACCTATGGAAAGGTGTAAAGATTGGGATCTTACACATGGTTTGAATTCTTTTAAGTATCTTGGATTAATTATTTCTAGGAAGATCTCCAGGTCAGTAAAGTTAAATATTTCAAATTGCTTACCTCGGATTATTATTGATATTAACATATGATTAAATGCTTTTATGGGAAAAAATAAAATATGATTAAATGAATACCTGATATCTATTTTTAATGGTATCCCTATGTTAAATCTGTTGGGTATTTTAAAGAGATGAAAACGTTCATAATTGGACTGACAGATTCACAGGTTTTCTTTATCAAAATAACAACTTCCTTATAAAGAAGGGAGTTTTGATTCTCAGATTTAGAGCTTTGTCACTGACATACATTTTGATATCTATCTCTTTCTGAAGTTTAAGTGATACTTTTCAAAAGCTTTCATGGACACAACTTTATTATTTGTTTCCCTTGGTATCTTGGCAAGGGTTTGGATCTATTTTTATTCTCTATCTCTGTCTCTATCTCTATCTATGAAAGAAAATGTTTTTCAGCATTAAACACTGCAAGACATATTTGGAATATGTTGAGAAGGAAGCTCAAATTTTATCTCAAGTCTCATAATTGACATCTGGGGCAATCTGGGACTCAGAGTTGTAGGCAAGACAGGGTATTGATACCTTAGATAAATTTATTCTCAATCAATATTATAAAGCATTTGGAATGTTGCAGGAAGATTTTGAGCTATCTAAAATTGATGAATGGAAATATATTCAATTAAAATGCTTTTTGATTAACTGATTAACTGGATGCACTAGCAGCATCTGAAACTCCTAAGAAATTATTATTATTATTATTATTATTATTATTATTATTATTATTATTGATGTTCTC